TCGAGCAGACCACCGCCACCCGCAGCGGCGACGACGGCATGGCGGCGGCCGCCCCGTCCGCAATCTCCGGCTCCGGACTCCCACCCAGTCGCGGCTCTTCCGCGCGAGCAAGATGGCGGCCGCGGCTCCCGGAAGTCATGACGCGAAGCGGCGGCGCCCGCGACGTACCGCGTCGGGACGCGCGGCGCGGGCGAGTACACGGCGTCCCAGAGGCCTCCCTGCCGTCTCAGAGCCCCGGCGGCGGGCGGAGGGCGCCCACCAACGGGCGTCAAGCAGGCGAGCGCGCCTCGACCCCGGCGTACGTAGCCAAGGCCCGCGGTCCTCACGGGAACTGGCCGTCGACCCGCGTCGGCGTCTGACATCACAAGGCTGCGCCGCCGTCTCCGACAGTGACGCGTTAGACGTCACGAGCGTCACGGCGTCATCGCCCGGAGTGACGCCACGTGGGCCCAGACCGGCGTGGCAACAGGCTGGTGGGGGTCAGGCGCGGCTCAGGGCTTCCCTGCGCGCTCGGCAGACTCCACGGGGCCGGGGTTCTCACTCCTGCCGCTGGCGCCGTTGTGCCCGCCGAGACGCGCTCTGCGCGCACCCGCGGCCAGTGTCGGGGAGCCGCCACGTCTTCCCGCTGCCCGCGTCGGTGCGGGAGCGACGCTCCTGCCTCCTCCCGCCGCCCGTCCCCCGGCTCGCGCAGGCGTCCGCCGCCGCTCTCCCGTGGAAACTGCGGAGTATAACGTTAGCTGAAGTGGAGGGAATATGTGGACCGAGGGTTAGTGAGGAAGCCTAGGGGGTGTCCGGTGGCAACATGTATGACAGACAGGATAACGCAGACAGGGCATGTGTGGGAGCAGCTCCCACACCCCTGCCCCCGGGGAGCCCGGCAGGGACGCCTCCGGGGTCCGGCCCGAGCACCCGGGTGGTGACTGCCCCTGCCCTCGACTTCTCCGCAGCCCTCTCCGGTACTCTCTCCATTTTCCTCCGGGCGGAAACCCCCGCCTGGCTGGCCTTGGCATCACGTTCCGGATCGCAGTCTCTTCCCCCTGAATAAATCGTTCTTGCTGCGTGAACACCTGGCCGACTTTTCCCTTAGGTCCGGCATTTTTGCGGCTCATCAGGGACCCAGAGGAGACCCCGCGGTTCCAGGGCTGGCGAGCAGACAGGTGTGGCGCTCACGGAACCATCTGCGTTTCCCGCTTTTCTCTGCTCGGCAGCTAAAAGATGTTTTCTCCAGGACCCGGGCTTCTGCGGGTTGCGTTCTGAAGGTTTCTGGGCTTCATTCGGGATCTACTTAGAGTTTTTTTTGGGGGGGGGGGATTGCATCTTTTCTTTTACCTATTGGAAGGCCTTGTTTGGCGCCTTGGTAGACACTTTGGCTTGACCCCCCTAGGGAGTCAGGCAGTTTGTTGGGACAGATTCTTTGGTGCCGGCGGTGACGAGTTGGAGTCTATTGGAACCAGACTGTCCCAGTGAAACGGTGTCATTCAGCCGTTGACCAGGTTGGGAGGAGAGACCGCTCCAAGACGGGACCTTGCCTGACCCTCGAGCTGGACCTGGCGGAAGGGGGATTGCTTGCCTCTAACCGCCCTGGAGGCTGAGGGTAGTCAGCGCTCTCAGACTAGACAGCACCCCTCCCCTGCGTCCGGCTCTGTGCTGGGTCCTGGACCGTCCGTGCAGGAGTGTGGCTAGTCTGTCCCGCCCTAGAATTCGTCTCGCGCCTGCTAAGTGGTGCGCGCACCCACTCATCTGGTCGCCTCCAGAGGCCCGCGGCGTGCGCGCGTTCCCTGTCCTCAGAGGGGGCGGCGGCGGCCTCCTCTTGCGCAGGTGGGTGTTTCAGCCGCGTGGCCTTTTCCCCGGGCGGAGCCTGAGCGCAGGACACCAGGGTCTTTCTGGCGCAGGCGCCCTCTCCAGAACTGGCTGTGGGGCCGCGGCCGACCTGTGACCAGGCCGTCCTGCAGTGCCACTCTTCGCAGCGACTCTGGCCGGTCCTGAGCCTGCAGGTTGCGTGAGCTGTTTTAGACTGTTTGGGCCCTTGCTCTAGAGGGAAGTCTGAAAAATGGGTTCTCAGTCATTTGAATATTTTCAGGGTGTCCTTCCTGCATGGGACCCTGGCTGAATTTATCTTTAAAAACCACAGCCCCAGCTCTGGCGGGTGTGGCTCGGTGGGTTGAGTGTCTTCCGGCAAACGGAAAGGTCACTTCCCTGTCAGGGCTGGTGCCTGGGAGGTGGGCCCGGTCCCCAGTTGGGTGTGTAGGAGAGGCAACCGATCTATGATCTATCGTTCTCTCTCTCTCTCCTCCTCTCTTCCCTCCTCTCAAAAAGGTAAGTAAATAAAATCTTAAAACAGCCACAGCCCCTCCCCGGCCAGGTAGCGCAGCTGGTTGCAGCATCCAGATGCACCAAGGTTGCGGGTTTGATCCCTGCTCAGGGCGCACGCAGGAAGCAGCCAGTGAGCGCAGAGAGAAGTGGGGTAAAAGGTTGATGCCCCCCCGACATTCCTTTCTCTCTCTCTCTCTCTCTCTCTCTCAAACCAATTTAACTTTTTTCCTAAATAAGTAAAATGAAAAACACAGTCCCTCGTGCATTTTTATTTGAATGGACCATGTGACCAAAAGTAATTTAGGCTGTTGATAGCCACGGTTCCAGGGATGGGACAGGGCCTCCGAGGGGACAGCCCCCTCCCGAGCTCCTGGATCCGCTAACCAAGCGCCCAGGATGAGGTCAGGGGGCTGGGGAATTTGCACTGTGAGAAATCGTTTTTATTTTTACCTTTTACCCCAAGGCAAGAAAAACGTGCACGTTTAAGAAGTGGGTACACGTGTAAATGTAGCCAAGGTCTAAAAGACAAAGAACAGTTTGAATTTTAAAAATCCTAACTCATAAAAGGATTAATTACAGACGGTCCAGAAGGGAAAAACACGCTGCACACAAGCTCCTGTGTTCAGCCTCGTCATGCGAATGGTCAGGGTCCAGGCAAAGTGTTACATCCGCATTTCGAATCCATGTTGAAATCGCACTGACTATATTGTGGAGCGGGCCCAAGTGGCAGCTCTAGTTTTGCACATAAAAGCCATCATAGCGGGAATTTCTAGAAAGGCCGCAAGTGGAGGTCAAGCAGGTGGGGCTGGGGGCGGAGCCCTGGGGTACGGGTCGCAGCTGGGACAGGAAGGATGCGTCTGATGGGTTCGCCTCCCTGGCTGGCTGGAAGCCACGCAGCCCGCCTGTGAACTGGGTCCCATTCCTGTCTCCCCCGTACAGAGGAGGAAACGGAGGCACTGAAAGGCGGTGTGGCCCTGTGTCTCCACCCTAAGCCAGTTAATTCTGTGTCAAAACACAAGCTTCAGTATCCTCAGGCGCCAGTGAGGCCAAACCTGCAGCACAAATGAGGCACCTGGACCCATCTCCAGGGCACAGGGGAGCGCTGAGGTTCACAGGAGAGCAGCGTGCCGCCGCCACAGGCCGAAGGCAGGGGTGCACAGAATGGAGAGGCCACCATCGTGGACAAGGGGGCGGAGGGGGGCTCCTCCAGGATTGGGAGTGGAGCAGCCTGGACAAGGTGCACCGTCTTCCAGGTGGACCTGGGGGCTGGGGGAAGGAGCCCGGGTGTCCCTGCACCCCTGGGTGGAGGCGGCGGCCAGCTGGCAGAGCGGGGCTGGGGGACGACCCCGAACTCAGAGCGCAAGCGCCCGGCGGCTGGGCCTCCAGGAGCAGGTCGTCTCCCAGGCCTGGCTCGCCCGATGGACCTCGCTGGGCTGGCGGCTGGACTCCTAGCCTCTGAGAAGCCCCTGGCCCAGAGCCCTGAAGACGCATCTGGAGAAGGCTGTGCGTCAAGGTGACCGGGCTCTTTGGCTCATAGGACTCTAGCTGGTATGAGCTGAGCCCATAACCAGAGCCTGAAATCAGGAGAGCGGGAAGAAGGGCAGAGGAGCACGCCTCAGGGCACCGTGTGGCCTGGCTCTGGCACCCAGCTGTACCCAGGAGCTGGAGGACAGGCCAGGGAGCCCCCGACGGGGTTTCCTACGGCTCCCGCCTGCGCCCTGCAGAACACACTGGAGTATGCCTCACAGGGAGCCGGGACCAGAGGCTCTCCATCTGGCTGCTGAGGGTAGAACCTGCCCCCCTGCCAGGGGCTGAGTCACCCCAGAGCCTGCCCCTCTTCCCTGCTGGCTTTGCTCCTCATGGTCACAGCAGCTCCAGGAGCTCAAGGACAGACCAGGTCGGGGAGGGCCCATAGGGAGGGCTAGGGGTGAGCTCCTGGCTGTCCCCTCCCCCCTCCCCAGCTCTAGTGCTGCACGAGGGACCCAGGTGGGGGGGGGGGGCCTTGGAGCTGCCTAGTTGCTGCTTGTCATGGCCCAAGGGGGTCCCCCTGAGGCCTGGCTACTTCCAGCTGCAGTAGGTGCCCCTCATGACCGCCACCCAACACTGCAGGCCCATGGTGGGACAGCCTGCCAGGCCCTCTGCCAGGAACGGCAAGGTCAGGGGCCACCGTACTGGACCAGGCAAAGACCCAGGGCCAGCCCTGGGCCGCCGCTCCCGGAGCATGAAGGAGCTGGGGAGAAAGGAGCCCAGCTCCCTACCCACCCTGTACCCTTCCCCCCACCTCCCAAATAAGCACACAAGACAGTGGGCTTCAGTCTAAGAACAATGGACATTTTAGACACTGGCACCAGGCTCACACCTGACCAGCACCACGCCAGGGGTGAGCAGAGCGAAGGCAGAGGTAGGGGGCGGGCGCTGCGGGGGCCCCAGCCAGGGCCTGGGGCTGCTGGTGGGCGCTGGGGAGAGGGTGACAGGGGTCCGCCACAGTGACTCCAGAAGTTCTAGGTCCAGGCCGGTCACAGTCAGGGGCTCATGGGGAGGGGCCACGGCACATCCCTCCGGGCACCAGGCGTCGACAGGCGGTCAGCAGCCTGGGCCAGGGCGCCCGGGTCTGCCCAGAGAAGCGCAAGGCTGGCCTTCTGCCCACAGCCGGTGTGTGGGCAGAGGCACGGTCGGCCCATCCCGGGCCCCCGGGCCCCCAGCCCAGGAGGGCGTGCTGTCTGCGTGCTGTGGCCGAGGCCTGGGATCCCAACCGCCGTGCAAGGCCGCCCTCCGCCTCCGGGCTCCCACTTCCTAGCCACCTGCCGTGCTCCCCAAGGCGAGTCCTCCTGAGAGGCAGCGCTGCAAAATGAAAACGGGGGGGAGGGCACCCTGCCCTGGAGAACGACCAGCCTCCCCCAAGGGTCAGAGAACACTCACCCTGCAGCAGCGAGAAGCCAAGCCCCGCGCCCGCACTGCATCCTGGCTCCCCGCTCCTCATACACCCCCGCAGGGACACATGGCGGGACGCAGTTTACAAAGGCTCCTGGAAAGCTTGAAGCGGGGGTCCCCAGGAGGACCCTAGCCGGAAAGACAGCCCGCCCGCCCATCTCAGGGCAACAGACGCCCTCGGACATGGCGGGACGGGGTGGCCGGCTCCCGCAGCGGGCCGGAGACACGAAGGCACAAAGCCAACCTAGGCCCGCGGGGGTGCGGTGGGACGAGGAGGAGCTCCAAGGGGGCCTGGAGCTGGCAAAGCGCACAGTGGCCAAGCAATGACGACAGCCTGGGTTTTCCAGCTTGGCACAGGCTGCAGGGGCAGGGTGGTGACCCGGCGTGCTAGTGGCTCTCAGGAGAAGGGGCTCTGTGTCCTGACGGCCCCTATAAAGGCCTCTGGAGAGCAGAAAGAGCCCTCGATGCGGCTGGCACCTCTGCTCAGGCCCAAGGGACAGTTCCAAACTGGATTCTGGGAAGCGGACGCCGGGCTGGTAAAGTCCTTCGATGACTCCAAGGCCCTGGAGCAGGCCAGCCGGTGCCCTACGCATCTCCAGCAGGCCCTGCGCGGCGCTCCTAAGAAGGCAGCAGGAGCCAGGGGGGGAGAGTGGGCCTGGGTCCTCCCTGGCATTTGTCGGTGGATAGAGCCCCAGCAGGTGGCCACCTCCAGCTTCAGGGCTGCCTGCGCAGGCCCGGGCGCCCGAAGGCCGGGTGCATGAGGTTCTCTGTGATGTAGGCCACGAGCAGGCAGATGACCACGAGCATGACGCAGATGGAGCCGCCCACCGCCGTCATGGCCACAACGATCTCTCGCATGCCAGCCGGCTCCGCGGCGAACTCCACGCATTCGGTGGGCCCAGAGGGCTCCGGGGCGGCGGCGGCGTGCTCGGCGCGCAGGGGCAGCAGCTGGAGGCACAGACGGTAGCGCACGCCGTCGTGCACGTCGGGCAGCAGGTAGTCGCGACAGGAGGCGCCGAGCAGCACGCGCTCGCAGGGGAAGCGCGTGTAGGCGCCGCGCCACGAGCAGTTGAGCGCGAAGGCGCGCACGCGGAGCGCCTGGGCCGGCGGCAGGCGCCACTGCAGCAGCACGCTGCGGTTGCGCAGGACGCTGGCGCGCAGCAAGTGCCCGGCCGAGGCGTGCACCGCGCAGCCGGGCGCCTGGCAGCTGAAGCCGCGCGCAGGGCTGCGGAAGCACAGGCGCCCGCCTCCCGCCTCTGAGCCCTCAGGAAGCACCTTGTAGGGGCACCAAGGCGCGTCGGCCCCCGGCTCCCAGCCCGGGGGCGTCGGGGCGGCCGCTGCGCAGGCGGGCGGCGTGCAGGAGGCCAGCAGCAGGATCAGCAGCAGCAGCGGCGGCGGTGGCGGCGGCGGCGGAGCGCGCATCCTGCGGCTGGGCCTGGCGAGGCGGGGCGCGGGCTCGCGGGCGCACGGGCGAGGGCGGTGGGTCACGCGGGCCGCGCCGCCGCCGCTCCCCGCGCTCACCCGGCGCACCGCGCCCTCCGCCGCCGCCCGCTCCGACCCGCCCCCGCGCCCCGTGCGCGCTCGGACCCGGCGCGGCGGCGGAGGCGGGGCCGCCCCACGCCCCGCCCCCCTTAACCCTCCCTGGGCCGCGGCCTGTCGGTTCCCGGGAGGGCGGGTCTCCGGGGAGAGGAGGCGCGGGGCGGTGAACACGAGCCCCGGGGGGGCGGCCACCGCGGCCTCACGACCCTCCATACCCGGCCGCGCGGGTATGTCGAGCTCCGCGTAGGTACACCTGCCCCGTTCCTGCCCCCGCCAGGCTTTCCGAGGCTTTCCCGCGGGCCGTGGCTCTGGGTCGTGGCCCCGAGGGCAGCTCCACGGCTTCTTAGGCTATGCCGTCGGGGACATGGTGCCTCTGCATGGGGAGGGGAGGCCGTGGCCTGGAGCGCACAAAACCCGCGGTCACGCTGCCCCATCCCAGACGTATGGCGGAGACCTAGAGTTAGGGTCCAGCCTGTGTTGACAGCGAGGAGGCGAGGACGGAAACCTTCCGTAGCCCCCAGGGTTTCCGTCCCTCTGGGGTGGGACAGCGGCGACCAGGATGGGACGCGAACGGTGAGCTTCCTTGGGTGAAAACTTTTTTCACTCTTCACACACAACAGGCAGTTATCGGGCAGACCACCCTCTGCTCTGGTTGATCCCTGGGGTGGCGCTCCCAGAGGCGGGTCAAGAGTGGACAAAGAGAACCACCCCGCCTTCCCCGCAAGCCCACCTCCTCCCGCTCTGGTCTTCGGGATGGGCCCCAAGACCCTGGCCGCTCCATCCCGTCTCTGCCGGGATCTCCTCGTGTTCGGCAGCCCTCCAGGGCCAGAACACCTGGCCAGGCCTGCTTGGCCTGAGTGGACAGGAAGCAGGAGCACCCCCTGTTCAGGGAGCAGGTGTCTGGCTGAGTGGTCACTGTGTGTCCTGGCCAGGGAGGCCAGGAGGGGACACTGGCAACTGGCTGGATACCCTGGGCCTCCCGGGCGCTGCTCTCGCCTGCGGGAGGGAGAGGAGGGGCTCCGCAGGCTGCAGTGCTCACAAGAGGCTGGTCCCCAGCTAAGGACAGCCGTGGAGCACCCCACCCCAGCCTCTCCAGTTCCTGGTCATCCCAAAATATTCCCTTCAGCACCAGATTTCAAGGCCTTTATCACAGCCCGAAGCCAAGGGTCACAAGCCCCCCACCCAAGCCCAGCACACCTGCTACCTCGCCTGGAGATTCCTGACTCCAGCACCAGGCCTCTGCAGCTTGTTGGGACCCTGAGCGGGGTTCCCAGGCATCTGCACCGCCTGGCTTGGGGGCAAAGGCTTGGGGAGGGGCCGTCCCTGCCTCTGCCCCTGGCTCCTCCTTTCCTCTCAGGTAGAGAGGGCCCTGGGCCCGGGCCCCTGCCCCGTGGGGCACTCAGGAGTTTCAGCAGGGAAACAGACAGCGATGGTGATGTAAGCCCCTCTCCGCCCTGGAGCGTGGCCAACCTGCTCACACCGGTTCCAGGGGAAGCCAGGCAACTGCAGAGGCTCTGCCTGCAGGGAGGGAGCCCCGAGGTGGACAGAGCAGGGGCAGGTGACAGTGCGGGGGTGGGGGTTGCTCTCCATGCCTTAAAATGTGCATGGAAGTTATGTGGCAGCACCCGATGGGTAGCCAGCCCTCGCTTTCCTCGTTTTGATATCACACACTGCGACAAAGGTGCTGTGTTCTGGTCACTGAGATCAGCATCCTGGGCATGAAGGTCACCTCCAGCTGCGGGCGGGCGGCACCGCCACCTGCCGGCCGCATGGGGCACTGCCGCGCGGGGCACGGCCGCGCAGGGCCTCGACCTGGGCGCTGGCAAGTGAACGTGAACGTTCCACTTTAAAACCTTTTCTGTCATTTTTTGTACAGTGTTGGCTCATTTTTTCAGCCTTTTACCCATAATTTGCAAATAGTTCTCCCACTTCCCAGCCTCTGACTTTGCCTCTAATGGTCCAGCCATGCGAAAGTGTTTTACTTAGCGCTTTGTGGTTCCTGGATTTGGGGTTGTGCTTAGGAAGTTTCGCTGGCTGGTGTGGCTCAGTGGATTGAGCGCCGGCCTGTGAACCAGAGTCGATTCCTGATGAAGGCACAGGCCTGGGTTGCAGGCCGGGTCCCCAGTGGGGGGCACAGGAGAGGCAACCACACATTGATATTTCTCTCCCTCTCTTCCCCTCTAAATATAAATAAACCTTAAAAAAGAAGCCTTCCCAGTCCTGAGGCTAAAAACGGGTTGTCCTTTGGGTTCCCGGTACTTGTGTGGTTTTATTTATTCTGTGTCTAATTTTGGTCAACTCTGGACATGCTCCTCTTTAAGGCACAAGCCTGTGACTCGGCTCCATTACTCAGCCCGCTTCTCCCCAAGGACTTGCGGGGCGGCCTGTACCCCACAAGCTTGGTGCATGGCGTCCCTGCTCTGTCCCCACGCTTTTAATTGTCAGGTCTGAATGTGCTTTGCTCTCTGGTAGGGCAAGTAACCCTGCATAACTTTTATGGTTTGGGTCCAAGAGACTCGTTTCCAGCAAAGGCAGGTGAGGGTCAAGCCTGAACAGGCGCGGCCGGCAGCCTGAACTCTCGCCCCTCCCTTGGGGTTTCAGGGTCACGTGTCCAGGACCTGGCCTCGGACTGCCAGGTTCGTTCCCACGGCACCGCGCAGCAGCACGACCCTCGCCCTGGGCGCATCCGTGCTCCTGCTGCTCAGCGTCCTTCTCTGTAACCCGGGACTGATGATCTGCTGCCACCTTGCCCAGCCAGCCGAGCGAGCGGCCAGGACAGGGAGCACTGAACAATGACGACAGCGTCGACGCGACTGGAGCAGATCACAGAGGGAACAGACTGAGAACAGGGGAATCAGCTGGACAGCTGCGCTCTGTGGGGCATGGCACCCGCGCTCCCTTCCTGACGCTGCCTCGGAAGGGAGCCTGCCAGGCTTGCATCCTCGGGGGAAGTCGGGGTCCCGGAAGAAACACTCGCCAGCTCGCCCAGGACGACTCTGTGGTGGTCTTGGGATGCTGAGCCCTGCTCACGTGAGCAGGGTGTCTTCCCAGCTCTTGAGAGCGGGGACTGCCACTGTTCCCAACATCCATTCGTCTATTAGTCCTTAGTGACATCACCACTAGCTTACCTGGGCACGTCACCCGGCATATCCCAGCTTCCCTTGCAGTTGTGTGCGCCAAGTCACAGCCAATGGAATTTCAGTGGTAGGACACCCCCCCGCCTTCTGGAGGAACCAGCCCTGGACCACCTGGCACCACAGAGAAGACCCATCCTCTGTCTTAAGTCCCTTTTATTGGAAGCTCTTCTGAGGCTCTCAGATCTCAGAGGAGCATGATTCTACCTACCCCAGTGTCTCACTCTGACATGGGAACGAGGAAAGATGTCTCATCAGATGTTTGAAGAAGGCTTTCAACAGGAAGTGGAGAGACTAAAGCAACTAGGGAAAAGGAACCTGGATGAAACAGTGCAGAAGGCAGAAGAAAGGCTTTTAAAAACCTGTAAATAAACTAAAATGAGAAAGATTGTACTTATGAAGACCATTATGCAAGAAACAGAATCAGAAAAAATAAACATGAACTCAGGAAGACAAAATGTATGAAAGCCCCGAGGCGCTTTCACACCGCCCAGCAATGAGCAGCAGGCTCTCAGGAGACACTGACCAGTGCCCTACAACTTAACTAAAAAAAATTTTGTAAAAAAATGAGTGGAAGAGCTATCCTGATATCAGGGAACACACAAGCATAACTTAGGAACATTACATCTGAAAGAGAACGGCGTGCTTGTAGCTCATACTGTAAAGCATAAGAAGGAAAATACATAGAAATCCTATTAAGTAACTTGGAGCAGCGTTTGGAAAAAAATACACCCACTTACAGACTTAAAAAAAAAAAAATGTTGTCGTCCTGACAGGTGTGGCTCAGTGGACTGAGCGCTGGCCTGTGAACCAAAGGGTCGCTGGTTCAATCCCCAGTCAGGGCACAGGCCTGGGTTGTGGGCCAGGTCCCCAGCAGGGGGCGCGCGAGAGGCAACCACATGGATGTTTCTTTCCCTCTTCCCTCCCCTCTAAATATAAAATCTTAAAAAAAAAAAAAAAAAATGGGTTCATCTACATGGCCACAAGATGTCTCTAATGAGACAAACCTTTAAAGCTCAGAATGTTTTGAGCGTCGTGGCATTCCTGCCACGTCCGGCCTCCGTGTTTGAGGGGGAGGCCTTGTTGAGTCTTATGCTCATGACTCAGCGTGAAGACTCGCACGGAGCCATCAATCTTCGGTCCATCTGGACCCTGCCTGGGACGGGAGGGAGCGCTCCGCCCAGCCCGTCAGCCGTCTCACTTCTGTCTTCCCTGCCGTTTCCATCAGAGCCCCACCTGTTGTTGATCCTTCCTCTGGCCGCGCTGCTCTGCTGTAATTCTTTAACAATCTTTACAGTATTCTTCCCCATTACCATTTAATCTCCTTATACACAGCACCCCCCCCCCCTTATAATTCCGCTAGTCACTTCCACGCCACCGCATATAGCCTCGGTTGTCGGGGAAGCGCTCCCACTGGGCCCCCTTTTCGTTTTGGGAAGAGGAGGGGCAGTGGAGCAGGACCTGAGCTGCAGCTGCGGAGAGGGTGCAGGGGGCCTGCGGGGCAGACCGGGCGCCCCGCTCTGCTGCCTCCTCCACGCTCCTTCGCGGCCCGGAGGCAGGTGTTTCTTTGGAGATCCAGGCTTTTCATTAACTACCTCACGCTTTGCTCGCTTCTCATAGCCAGCAGCCGTTTTGCTCTTTCTGGATCAGTTCCGTTTTTGTGACCCTTTCTGCTGGTTGCTTTTCTTTTCTGTTTGTCACGTAACAGCTGGTCTTTATTTGAAAAATGTAACGATTTTCAAGAGGAAA